AACAAGAAGGCGCTGCAGTCCTGTCTCGGCCTACTCAATTGGGCAACCTCCATCAGCCACCATCTCAGGTCGTACGCAGCGCCTCTGTACTCCGACCTCAACAGCCCGCCTGGCGCTCTGTGCAGCATTTTCTCGCGTGTGTGGCAGCGCGATGTGCCTCTCCTGCCCAGCTCCGATAGACTCACGTGGGTCAGAATTGCAGACCCCACAGCCTCCGAAATAGCCCTCGCCAAAGACAGCAAAGAGTCCTTAGCGTGGCTGCTATCGTGTGTGCAATCAACCCCCACCAAGCCTCTCTCAGACCCACACCTTCTGCGCTGCCTCTCCGCTGCAGACGCCATGGCAGAAGGAGACACGGCGGGGATAGGAGGATGGTTGTGCGCCAAGGACGGACTGCGCTGGTTCTCCGAAATATGGTCCATGTCCGAAGTGCGTCACGTCTGGCCGCAGCTCCACAAAGATGCTCAGAAGTACATAGCCTGCTTTGAGACATTGGCGCAGTTAGCCTTGCTCCAGATGGCGCGCAGCCGTCTTGGTCACAAGTACCTCTCCTTCGCAATGCCCGCAGGCTCAGACAACACCCCCACTGAAGCGGGAGTGAATAAGCTCTTTCCCACAGCCTGGCCGTTCAGCCTTTTCCTTCGCCTTGGCCTTGTTGCCTCCTGGTCTCACGCCCACTCGGTGGCCTTGCTAGTCTCCCACGTGTCAGGGAAGAAGAAGAACGTGTGGGCAGACGAGCTGAGCAGAGATAGTTCAGCCAGCTGTGCCAGTTAGAAGGCATCAAGCTGCATCCCCCCCGCGCAAGGTGGAGGGAAAATTGTGTAGACTCAGCGACCTGAACCAGCTCCCTCGTGCGGACGCAAAACAGTGACCCTGACTTGCCAGCTTGGTTGCGCAGCAGCCCTACCTTTGCAGGCAGCCCGCCAATCGCAACACAGCCTTGCCTTACTGTGCATATGCCCAGGCCGTTCACAACATCGCCGTGAACACAGCCTGCCTTCAGCCAGAGTTGCCTTGCCCGCCTGGCAGGTCCCATTGGTCACTTAGGCGCCCTTGAACAGCCCTTGGACGAGCCGCAGCCTCAGCTTAGTTCCTGCAACAGCAACCCTCACGCGGAAGGGGTTCTTGGGGCAGGGCCGCAGCCTCCCGCAGGGGCAGGGTGGCTCTGAGTCACTAGAGAGGGGGTGGAACGAAAGGAGACCCGGGCTTGAAGCCCCGAGCCTTTCAAGCCCTCCTTTGCGCAACACTCAGAGCAACCCAGAGAAAAAGAAGACGAGCCTTGTGCTTCTTGTAGTGGTAAATTTTAAGGCTAAGCCCACAGAACACTAAAAGTTTATTTTGGTCTCTTGTGTTTTGTGTGGACTTGTGAATCTCATGCATGCCTGCTGCCACTACTGCTCCTAGGCCAAGACTGGTAGCCCACTACAAGCCTTTCTGGGTAGATCGCCTTCTACTTCACAAAACTTTTCCCGCCCTCCCAGACCCTTCTAGTTTACAGCTTGAAGCCTTGAAAGGCCCTGTGCCCAGGTCATGAGCCTACCTCAGCCCTGGTTTCTGTTTCATCTAGCCTCGTAGCCCTGAACCAGCCTGTCAGCCGCGGCTTGTGCAGGCTACTCCAAGGACTCGCGGTCCAGCTGTCGCTTCAGCCCTTAGAAGACAAAAGCCAGCAATGCTGGCCCAGGCCAGGCGCGCTGGCCTCGGCGACCCGACCCTCGCTTGGGCCTAAGTTCTGCAACCGCAGACCTGATTAAAGCCTGGCCGCCTCAGGTCAGCCCAAGCCCGCTGAGCTTGGTTCTTACACAGTTTCACAAAGACCAGACCAACGTTTGGCCCAGTCTTTACACTGGCTTAAGCCCTACGTTTCAACCAAATAGGGGGGTGGAACGAAAGGAGACCCGGGCTTGAAGCCCCGAGCCTTTCAAGCCCTCCTTTGCGCAACACTCAAAGCAACCCAGAGAAAAAGGAGACGAGCCTTGTGCTTCTTGTAGTGGTAAGTTCTGAGGCTAGGAGCAGTGCAAGCCCACGGAACGGTTCAGTGCTGAATGGCACTCGCATCGGATGGGTACCTTGGTGTGCGAGGTGGGCTGTTGTGCTGTCCGACTGTTGCGCCATTTTCTGGTCGTGCCCTTATCCGCATTGGAGCCAAAATGGAGCAAAACCCGAGTGTTGGGAGTGCGGCTGTGACTGAGCGATCAGTGTATATCATATATGGATACGCGTTAAATGTGGAATGATCACAGAGTGCTTGAATGATGAATGATATTTCCATACCCAAATACAATACAATTAAGACAACGCTCAGCTTCAAATGATTTTCCAACCGGACGACGAAAGCCAAAGGCAGGCGTTGCAACATGGCAAGTTTGTGGTTTCCAGCCGTACCCGGACAATGGGTGACACATGCTATCATGTCAGAATTCTGACTCAGCCTAAGCGTCCGGAAGCAACTAATTTTGGCCTCATCAAGCCGCGCGACTTCGTAATGTGTGCCTGTCAAGCGGGGCACGGCTTGGCTAGCTAAGAGTTGAGATGCGGCATGATTTGTTGTTGAATTTGTTGCACTTTGTCAACAATGGTTTTGATACTACGCTTTTGCCTTCGCGATTTTTTTGGCCTGAAGTGAATTGCCTGTTCTTTGTGTGTTGTGTACGCTTGCAACTTTGTGGCCGTAAAGGCAACAAGGTGCATGTGGAGCCGTTGTTGGAGTTTAGCGTTGGCAAGCAATGTGATACATTGACACCGAGGGGGGCTGAGGGGGGTTCATTACTTTGTCCCGTATGATGTTGTGATATCATTTCAGATGAAAGGCACGTCTCAGTGTAAAACGTTTCTGGTGTGCAAGTCCGCATGCTGGATTCCTGTTAGATGACGGCCAAGCAAAGACACAAATTGCTTTGCATTCTTTACGCGAGAAATCAATTTTGCTTATGTTCGGTTTGCCAATTTTTTGATAGATTTGAGTTTGTGCCCTCTTCGTTCCCGTCAGCAGTGGTCACAACGTAATTACCATGTGCAGACTTGATGTGATGAAGCATTGGTTTGCCAATTGGCCCAAGCACTCGAACTTGGGAGAAGGCCTCTTCTTGAGATACGACTCCCCAAATCTCGTGCTCCCATGCCGCTGCTGGACTCGACAGTGTGCCTTGGTTGAGTGGATTCTTTCCCACATAGATGCCCCATTTTAATATAATAATTTCCATTTTCTTTTCCATTATCCTTCTATTACCCCTAAGATTCCTGGTGGTGCGTTCTGCGCTTTCTGTGGCTCTGAGGCTTTACCCAGCACCGAAGGTCCAGTGGTACACGCCAACGCCTCGGAAGCCAAGCCGAGAGCCCCTTGGCAGCTTCAAATTTTAGGGGTTATATAGGGGATAATGGATAAGAGCATGGAAACTACTATTTAGGGTTATATCGGAGTTTAGGGGCTTGGCAGTTTCTACTTGACAGCAAATTTCCTGTGCAAATGAATGGCTCAAGCTTTAGGGTTAGGGCTAGGGTTTAGGGCAGTGTAGGGCCAAGTGTTTTAGGCATTTTTTGTGGATTTTTTTTTTGGTGTTGCAGCGCTGCAACGAGGAATCCTCTTGGCATTGTGTTTCCAGATGAGGCCCCTGCTGCATTGGGGAAATTGCTGCAGTTACATGACTTCCTGTGAGGCGACAACGTACTATGCTTTCCCAAAAGAGAAGAAACTGATGGAGGCACAAAGCAAGATGGGCTCGCTGAGATTCATATCAGCTTGAGGATGATTGTGCAAGGATAGCATAACTCCTTCCTTCCTTCCTGGTACGGCTGAAATGGAATGCTGTCATTCTGATGCCGATGATGTTTCCTATGCTTTCATCGCTCCGCTGTTGGTTATCTTGTGTGTGGTTGCTGTTAGCCTTAGTTTGCCCAGTGGCCTAGCACTAGTGATGGACATGCGCAGCAAGCGCTCTTATCGGCGAAGGTTGGGGGTGCCAGACAAAGCCAGGGCCCGGGTTTGATCTTCGCATTACGGTTGGTGTTTTTGGCGGAGGTAAAGATGTGTGAAATTTGAGGATTCCGTGAACAACGATTGTTCATGCAACCTGAGGCTCTACCCTAGCCCCTGAGGGCTTGATGGTCGTCAACGTCGACCGGGTCCTTCTCTCAGCTGGCAGTGCAATGCCGGACAGACTGTCGTCCTTTCTGCTACCAGTGCACGCCCGTCAGCATCACAACCATAGTAAGCCAGAGCCACAACCACAGTCAAAGACTCCACCCATTTCCAGAAGAAGACAGACTGAAGGCTTTCAAGCTTTAGCCTAGGCGCTGGACCTTCTGCCGTCTGCCTGGATCTCAATGTGGTAGTCTGTGCAAGGCAGCAGTGAAGCCAATCATAAGTGGCCGTACTGATCGGACATATAGCAGCTAGCAACTGTTGTGGTAGCAGCAGGAGTAGCTATCATGGCTTAAACATGCTCGAGCCATGCTGGGGCTTCTCATTTGACTTGTAGCATTTCCTCATTCGTCAATGCTCATCTGTTCGGCCAAGGACAACTTCGGACCGCATTGCTATTGTGCTGCGGGCTTGGGCATTGTGATGCATAGCCCTTCGCTTTATGTTCGCGAGGTGATCTTTTGATGTATTTTGTGGAATAGGCTTGCAGTGGGAGGTTTTCAACTTCAGCACTGTGTGATTTAAGAGGAGGGCTGAGGGCCTGGGCCAAGGCAACCGCATACTACCCAGGCACACGGGGTGTTCGGTAGCTCGTGCAAGGGTTGCCTTGAAAGAGGTGCACCTTCCGCCCTTTGACAGGTGAGGGTGAGAATGAGATCAACTCCAGAAAGACTGAATTCGTCCGGGGGAACGCTAACCCTGCTGATCCAAACTCGGAGGCCTGCAGTTTTGTCATTTTTCACCCGCGTTCGCCGTCTATGTGGCGAGCACTGGATTCAGTCATTGGGATATGACACTTGTTGCTGTTTAGGCTATCTCTGATTTGAATGCGAAACTGACTCGTCCCATGCTGCAGGACTGCATGCTTCAGAAGACGGTGCTGGTGCCCTATAACAAGAGGCTCGCTCACGCTTCCTGTCAGGTCGCTTAAAGGTTATCGGCAGCTTTGAAGGCAACAGCTCCTCATGGTGGAGATCCACGAAGTGGATCCCGATGATTCAGAGGTAGAGGACAGCTTGATCGGCCGGCTGGGCACTTGGCTGGGCCACGCTTTGCCACGCTTGTCACTCCAACTGATACAGTTTCTATGCATTTCAGGGCAACGCTCCCGCTGGCCGATCGCAAGATCGAGTCCTCTGCGAACTGGCCCCTGATCCGTGGGCTCGAGTGTAGTGGCACGCCAGGGACTCAAGTCCATCGCATGTCTGCAGTTCTTTTCACCTCTGCCCCTCGATGCTGGCCCCAGAAATTGTGCATCCGAAGGTTGACGGTGCACGTCAAGATTCCAAACCCGGAGGAGCTCCACAAAATCCCACCAAGCAACACCAGCTTTGCGAGCGCTGATGTTTTGTTGGAACAGGACACCGCGGACACCACCACTCCAAAGACGAAGAAGTCGTCTGCAGTGCCCTGGCATTCTCTTAGCATCTCTTAGCACCTTTGCTCCACATCTTGTCTTACTCAAATGCCAAAGGCTTCCACATGCCAGATGAGCTCTGCTGGTCCCAAATCGCTTGCAGCTTAGATGCTGGCGCTGGATGAGAGTTTTGTTCAAGCTGGCATGGTGGCAAATGGAATTCCAAGGCGAGTGTGGACGCCGCAGGCAGGAAGAGAGTCGACATGCATTTAGCGAAGCAACAAACTTGGGTGTGTGCCTCTTCATAGTATACTATTCTATAATCTCTTTATATATATATATATGCCATGATAAGATGTGTAAAATATGCGATTATTGTGCGTCTGAAAAAAATCTACGAGGTGGAGGGCTTCCCAGAGCCGATTTCACCACCGAGTCGCAAGCGCTGCGACACAATGGCCTTGGAGGGCTTCCCTGAGCCAATCTCACCATCCACGGTAGCCCGCTAGGCACCCAGGATTAGGGTTTAGGGTTTACAGACGGGATTGGAGGGTGTTTGTAGAGGATGTGCACAACATGCAATGATGGTTGGAAGGCAAAAGTTGCCTGCCGAAGTATGTAGGGATTCCAGAAAAGCATTCATGGGATCCTGCCTGGGAGTTTTTGAAATGTGTGGGTCCGACATTGTGGCTGGCATGCATAGTGATTCCTTTCAATCTTATTGCTCTCTATACATGGCCATCAAAGAGCCGTTGTCTCGAAAAACGTTTCCAATCTGTTCTTCTTAAGTTTGGACGAATGCTGATAAGGCCCAACACTACTGGAGAGCTTGCGACGCAAGCCAGCTGATGAGAAGAAGGGTGCTCCTGGTCTCTTGTTTCGGGGTTTCGGTTTTGAACTGTCTTCTGTGAGGGAATCCCACGCCTCGCCTTGCCAGATTGCCAAGCCTTTGCCGAAGCCGAAGCCTTCTGCGAACCTTTCGAGAGGGACACGTGCTTCTGGTCGCACAGCAAAGGCTGCCATGCCCGATAGCCTCCAGATGGCAGAACATGGCAGAACATCTCAGAATCAGTTGACCTCGTCGTAGGCCTATCCACTGTCTCGACTGGCTCAGTGGTTTGTGACCACTGGCTTGATATGGTGCGCAGGGGACCAGGCTGGACCAGAAGCTGCGAGATGTTGTGCGTCTTTGCAAGTCCTTGATGCAACCAGGCTTGGCTCGAATATTCTTCAGGTATCTCCAGTGACCTCTCAACAAGAATCAAGTCTCAAATAGGTCTATGCAGCCCGTGATCTACAGCAAGATGCAGCAAGAATCTGTGTCCATCGGCTCCAGAATGATACGGCCCAGAAGCTCATGGGCGAGTGGCTGGGCGCCGCACCCCTCTTCTGCGAGCCTAGACGGTCCAGCGCGGCGCGCGCCCGGGCCTTACCGCCTTCGGCTGGGGCTGGGAAGGGTGACGAGGAGGAGGCACGGAACCGGCAGAAGGAGCGCATGTTAGGTAGCTGTTGCGAGTTTTTGGGGGGGCAGCCTCGGGGCTTCAGTGGGGGCCTGCAGGAGCTGCAGGAGCTCATCGTGAATGCCGACAATGTCGAAAGTATTCTGGGCACCGTGCGGGAGCTGGAAGGGGCAATCGTCATCTCCACAGCTCTGCATCGTCTAGGCAAGGTCCCTGTGAATCCTCAGATCTTCAAGGATCCGCGTTTTCAGCTGCTTCTGGACCGATTCAGGTCCCGCCTTCCCTTCTTCGGCTCGCGCCAAATTGCTAACTCACTGCATGGGCTTGGTGTGATTTGCTACCGTGGAGGGGGTGCATGGGTCGAGATGGTTTCCATACAAACCCAACGCCGTATCCACGAGTTCGAGCCGCAGCACGTGTCAAACACCTTATGGGCATGTGCACGCATGCAGCTCCAAGAGCCACTAATGATGCGAGCGCTGACGTCCCGGGCCATCGAAGATATCCAGCGCTTCTGTCCATTGGACATCTCTATCTGCACCTGGGCTTTTGCCACGATGAAGCGTCGGGAGCCGGAGTGGCTGCGCGCCGTGGTCCGCGCACGCTGTGACTTCAGCGACTTCTCACCGCAGAACATGTCCAACTTTGTTTGGGGCTTGAGCACACTTGGCTTCAGGAATGATAATATGGTGCTAGCCGTGGGGCGAGAGGCATCAAAGAAGATCCAGGACTTCATTCCGCAAGAACTTTCTAACTTTTCCTGGGCTTTGGCCACCATGGACCTCTGCGACAATCTGATGCTGAGGGCCATCGCAGAAGAAGTGGACCGACGAGGTGAAGAAGTCAACAACTGGGATCCGCAGAGCCTTTCGAACATGATGTGGGCCTACGCCACACTTGCCCTGAAGGATGACCCTCTCTTCAGGCGTTTGCTGGATTCTTCCATTGTCCGAATCCTGGACCACGACACCCAGAACTTGGCCAACAGCAGCTGGGCCGCAGCCATGGTCGGCTTCCGTTGCTCCCGCTGGCTCGACCAGGCAGCAGCTGCTGCCGTGAGAAAGATCCGCGAGTGCCAGACCTTGCACCTTGCACAGCTCGCCTTTGCCTTCGCCCGCTTTGTCTTCCCGGGCGATGCCCACGGCTTCCTTCCAGCTTTGCTTGAGGAGACGCTTCGCAGAGTCGAGGAGTTCCCGCCACAGTCGCTCTTCGATGTCCACGACGCGCTGCGTTTCTTCGAAGCATTGCCGAAGGCCACGAGCATCGAGCGCCGCCTGACCTGCTGCTACGAGGAGACACTGCATCGCCTGGAGCATTTCGCGATGCTGGCCGCAAAGGGTCAACCGACCTCAGCTCAAGTGTTGGCATACCAGCGGAGTGTCGAGCAAAGTGATATAGTGACATTGGGGGAGTACTGGACGCTGCGGTTTCTGAAGCACTTTGGACTCCTGTGTGCAAGCGATGATCCCTTCATCCCAGATGCCCGGCAGCGGATCCTGGACTTCAGGGCAGATGAGGTGGCCAAGGACCCCGTGAGCCGCTCGCTGTTTCACCGTGCGCAGTGCGTGTGGCAGCTGGGCCTTCGGGGAGATTTGGACGGTTCCCTGGCAGATGGCCTCTTCGAGAGCGGCGAGCCAGTGGCAGGAGCCCCTGCCTCCCATGGCCTCTACGTCTGCCGGCTGCGGCACACGCGCGAGGGTGATGCAGAGGTACAGGCCCTCTGTGCAGCTCTGGACACCAGCATCCTCCGAAGTGGTCGTGCGCCAGAAGGCTTGGCATTGAACCTGCACCTCTCTGACGTGCCTTGCGTTTCGTGCTTGGGGTGCACGCTGCAGTTTCAGTTTCGCTTCCCGGGCGTGCTTCGCGTGTCTTTTGACAGAGGGAGGATTCTGAGGAAAGACTCGATACCAATTCCGAGGCCACCTCCGCCACCATCCAAGAGGGGCAATCCGATGCCTTACGCACCCATGCCTGATGCTCCACGATCGGATGGTGTGGATCGAAGCATGGTGCGTAAGGAGCTTCCAGAGGGAAGCACCGACATGACTTCCTTCTACTTGAACCCGCTTCTGGCATCTCGACGCCCCAATGGTGCAAGCAAAGGTGGCGAGGAAGCGGTTCCTCACAAGTTGCTACGAAGCCGGAATGGCAACCAACAGACCTACTACTTCTCCTCCGCACCCACCTTCTTCGACAGTGAAGATTATGACGGTTATTGATACCGCATCGATGCTAGACAATTTTTCTTCGAAGGATGTACGAGACTCAAGGCAAGAGCCTTTGCGGCAAGGAGTGTTCCCTGAGATTGTCAGCGGCAGATGCAGTCTGTCGCATACCAGCCAGCCGCAGCTGAGAGAAGATCCAGAAGCTGATGTCAAGAAGATGCCGTGGCTCAGGAGCTGATGGAGCCGGTTCTGCAAACGAGGACAGTTCACGCCCGGAGCCTCGAGCCGCAGACGCCTGGAAGTTACCTGTCATTGTTGTGGCGGGCTATAGGAGAAGGAAAAGCGTCGCCCATGCTACTGTCTGGCAGCATCAAAAGGATCAAAAAGCTTGCTCCTAGCTGGTCAAGACTCTTAGATGACTCTGCTTCTAGTTTGAAGGGAAGCAAAGACGTGCCAGGTCTCTTGCCACCACCATCTCCGCTTCTGGAATCTCTGAAGAGCGGTCAAGCCGAGCTCGCTTCCTCAGTTTTGGAGCCGATGTTTTTGTCAGTAGGCCTGAGGATGGGAAGCTGGTCTCTGAAGACAGATGGATGATAGTTTTACTTATTCAGAGCGACGTGCATCGCATGAGATGGAGTTGCATGCCAACAACCTTGGTGCCATGAGTCCGCGCAGCAATGCTCAGAAGCGTGTCGGCTGTCCCGTCCATGCAGAAGGCTTTTGTCCTGGCTGACCTTTCTAAGCAGAGTGTGCCAGGTTTGGACCCCTTTGCCAACCTTGACGCCTGTCCGGCTCTTTCTGCGCCTGCCTTCGGAGGCTCAGGGGAAACAACAGGCAGAATTGCAATACAAAGAGAAGGTCAAAGAACGCACATTCTAAGACATGCGCAGCCAACGACGTCAGGACCTAATTAGCCTTGTGCCGAGAAATCAATTTTGGCACTCTTTTGCTCAGATGGGCGCTGCTTGCAGGCAGTTTCAAGCCGCCCTTCGTCCAGCAACCCCTTCTGGGCACAACAAGGCAGTGGCTATTGTTGCCATGTTCGTGAGCTGCGATCATCAACACCTCCTTGAGGCCGACCCA